AAAAAAAAAAAAAAAAGAGTAAATTTACTGTGGATAGATAATCCAGGTCTTTGATCTCAAGAACAAGTGCAAGAATTGTCAACGACCACAAACTCCTCATCCTCGCACCGGAAGAATAGGTAGCCAACGGTCAGCCCGGCAACGATGGCGAGAAACACGTCTCCATTGAACGACATGAAGGCGAGCATCAGGAGGTATCCGATCGCGGAGTTGACTCCGAAAAGCACGGCCGATGCGACTTTAGCGGGCTTGAAGCGGCGGGTTTTGGGGAGAAGAGTGGTGGCGGCGGAGATGGGATTGGTGGAGGTGAGGGATTTGAAGCGGATTCGGCGATCTTCCATGTATTGGTAGAAGGAGGCGAAGGGGAAGCAGGCGAGTAAGGTGAGGAAATAACTGAGCCAGGAATCGGTACCTCATGAGTCAAAGAGGAGGGTGACTTGTTCGCCCCAGTACAAGATCATGTGCATCATCTTCAACGCTGGTTCGGAAACGAACAGAGGGAGGAGCGAGGAAAATGGAGAAGAGGTTGGAGCCACGCTGGAGCCAGTTGGATGTCAGATGCCACGCAAGCTATTAACTAACGGCGTGACAGAGCTCAGTTAGTGGAGGGGTTAATTTGCTCCTTAGGTGGGGTTTGAGGACTTATCTGCGACTTTTTAGTTCAGGGGATTATCATTAGCTGTCAAAAATGTTGAGGGGCTTAACATGGGTTTTGCCATTATTTTGCTTAGCCTAAATCCAAACACTCAACGATAGATAGAGGAAGAATGATAACTTAGTAATTTTTTATTCTGTCTATATAATATAATGCTTTTGTTTTATAGCTGATCTCTTATTAGTAAAAAATTTTAATATTAATATTTAAAAATATTAAAATAAGTAAAAATTTTTTTAAAAAGAATTATTATTCTTTATTATATTACATATTACCTAATATAAAAAAAATAATATAATGCTTTCTATCGAAAGCAGCTATTCTGATGACATACTTTAATCATTTCATTTATAAC